TGGCTACGTGCTGCGTATGCCAGTCGGCCGACTTCCTCGAAGAGCTCTTTTCGCACAACCACGTGAAGGGTGGAAGAGAGCTAGAGACAGTCAAACAATGACTTGGCAGCGAAGTATGACAGCCATTCCCAGCAAACTCATCTGCACTGGTCACTACCGTCTTTCTGGATGGGAACCCCGAGACGGGCCACATCAATGGCTAGAGACATTATCAGACATGGCCCAGTGGCGCCCTCAATGGCACTCGTACATCCAAGCTACTGCCTTCAATGCATAGCTCCTTTTCCAACCCCCCACTTGACAGCCCACTGACAGTGCTGGATTTATGCACCAATTTATCAGCTCCCGCCTGCAATGCGCAGCTACCTACCCCTACCCCTCCAAATCATCGGTGAACGAAACTGCAGCAGCTACAACCACTGTACGACGAGTACGCGGTTATTGCAGCTGACAATGATGATGATGCAGGGCTGCCTGACTCCTAGTGTGGTTGTGCACAGCGGGTATGTGAGCAGCACTAAACTCTGGTTTTAGAACTTCGACCTGTTGAATAATGCGCCAACGGTTAGGGTCAGTCGGTGGACACTCAAAGTGTGCTTTTCCTAACCCATCCTTCTTCGGAAGACAGCACCGCTGATTCCATAAATATGGACGTGTTGGTCGCCTGAAGGCCTATCCCAAGATGTATCGGGGAGGCCAATAACGGAAAGCCTGAATATCTGGGGTCCCACTACAAAAGCTTATGGTACGCTAATTCCCAGCGCCAAACCTGGCAGGCAGTATGATGTTAACAAGTTTACTCCTGGACGATAGCACCTTAACTCTCTGACTGTCTGCTGAACGAGTAGTAGAACAGTCGGCCTCCGGAGATCTCCAAATCCTCCACTGGGCACTCCAAAATCCACAACAATGAATATTATACAAGCAGCCAGCCTGTGGACTGTGAAGGTCCACCATCTCAAACGAAATGAAGGGAATCGGTCGGTAGACGAATCGCGAGTGAAAGCAAACTCCTTACATACCCATTTACGTAGGCGGTCAACAGAACGCATTCTTCATCTGCACAAAGTTACCCCGAGAATCCAAAGATGTAATTAAATTGGGGGAAATAGAAAGCTGAATAACCCAGTCGTAGGTTAATCCCGCAACCAGCTTTAAGTTCATTAAATGAGTTGAGCTCGAGATAGCTGTGGTTAAGGTGCGAATGTACTGGCTGGAAGGACCGCGGTGCAAACCTAACCTCAACAGCTCTCGTCTAGGTTTGGGCAACCAGGCAGCCTCTCAGCCCCCACGCATCCTCCGGATAGTTGACCGCCGGGCACCGAAAGTGAGTCATAGCTCATTCTTTAAATGAGAACAGGTGCTTTAACGTACCTGAGCTTCGCCTGAGACTGCTTTTGCTAGCAAGGTCTTGCCTACCCCAGGTGGGCCAACCAAAAGAACGCCCTTTGGGAGTTTGGCACCCAGGCGATTGAACTTCTCAGGATTCCGGAGGAATTCAACAACATCTTGAAGTTCTTTCTTTACCTCGTCGCACTGAAACAAATGATAAGGATTAAAATACTGGTTACCCCTTGAACGTCGTTGAAATTTATATCAGCATTTTCGGCAAAAGATGCAATGCTAGGATCCAGCATTTTGGGGAAGACCCCTGTAAATAAGTAGTTCGAATGTTAGGAAGGGAAACTAACCACTTCCGAAGATTCTGTTCGATGATTGGAACAGGTAATAGCATAGCACTCCAAAGATTACGATTTTCCCAAAGTTTCCGGTCAGTGCTTCAAACATGCGTGATTTTTTATCTTTCTCTGTAGATGATTGGAACCCCCGCCTGTACGCTTCAACAAGTTGAAGCTGAATGGTAGGTGGGTGATCTTTGAGGATCTCCTTCAAGTCTGCGTGCTTATCATCCGGTTTTTGGTCCTTCGATGGAGATCTAGTGTCCAGGATGAATGAGGTACGATAGGTGGCGCAATGACCTCGGTCAGTGAAGGATTTCTTCAGGAATTTGAAAGCGGGTGCCCCGGAACAGCAAATTACAAGGCTACGAGAACCAGGCGCTTTCCAGAACCGCCGAAGCCAAGCGTTGATGGGCCCTGCGTTCTGAGGTGCAACTCGCGACGTCCACATGTCTGAAGACAGCGAACGACTGATCAAGCAGAAACCCCTACTGACCGGCTATCAGCAGCAGACCCACTGACTGCTCGATGGCTGATTGGTCGATCGCCACGGGGCATGACTCTGACCTAGCCACGGAACAGTCTGAAAAGGTGATCCGAGCTTACGGTGATTTCTAGTCGAATTCAGACCCAAATGATGTCACCAGCCTATACCGCGTGCCACATTTTACTGCTACATCGTCTAGGAGTCCCAGGAATATAATTCATAAACAGATGTCATTTGTGGTTATCGGATAAAAAACTGAAACAGCTGGTCAATGAAATTCCTCTGTGATATTGGTTCTGGTAAGCCACGTGGAACCAGTCATCTTTTGCCTGTTTGGTGTGCTTATTTTTATTTTTGATGCGTCAATATCACTTGGAGGTCCTCTATGTTTCAAAGACTTCTTGAATGAGAATGTGGGTGCATCGTTTCCATCCCTCACGCGTTTGGGAAGAACTTAAATCAATACACGAAGGATAACGTTGTGGTATTGGTGCTGGGGAATCGGAAGAAGCTAGAAAGCCGAGCGTATTTTCTAGTAAACGAAGTACGCGGAGCACCAGCCGGTGTCTACGGAGACAAATGAACGAACTGGCAGTAACCTCTTATCTTCTTGAACAAAACCCCAGGTTGTCAAAGTTTCTGTACGACCGGCTTCCAGTAAATCGACGGCTAACCGAATAGGAGATGGGCACCTGCAAGGCCCTTCTGAAATATGGGACGCCCCCTTGTGAGGTGCGGCAGCTTGTGGTGGATGAATTCGGCAAGATTCTCACTACCAAAGATATATACAACTACCGCCGGAAGGGTCGACCGGTGCCGCACGTGTCAGATGATATGCCTTCGGTGCTGGCAAAACTGCCGCATAGTTGGGTTTTCACGTGTCAGATGTTATGCCTTCGGTGCTGGCAAAACTTCGAGAGACCGGACTCGTTCCTGTGGGCCAGTCAGAGGAATATCTCTATAGCCACACATGTTTCTCCCGATGGCAGCAGATAGCGTTGTTCCGACGTTTTCCAGATGTAGTGAATGTAGTCGGAATGCATGCAACGAACCGCCTTGGGTGAGTTTTTTAAAGCAACTAATATTTGGCATACACATAAATTGTACACCCCGTTGATAACGGACGGCATAGGAGCCGGACGTCCGGTTATGCATGCATTCGTAGAGGGAGAGCAGGTTGCTCCCATGCGCTAACTGTTCGGCTAACTCGAAGAAATGATGGGCGAAACTTATCCCGTTAAGACCTTTGTAATGGACCAGTTGGTGGCGGAAATGCGTGCAGCAAGGGTAGTGTTCGGCTGCAACGTTAGGCTTTGCTACTTTCATGTCCGCAATGCCATCAGGGAGCACGCATGTATCATTCAATATCCATGTATTTTTGGTTATAGACACATTCTGCGAACAGCCGGCACATATTTCGCCGCATGGCTCACCTGGACAATGCTGTACATTGGGTTTTATGTTCATCATATTACAAGCACACAGGTTCCGACAAGATCTACAGCTTCAACGCCGAACCGATCCTCCATTTCTTTCCTATCTTACGGCTCGCTGGTTGTACATCACTCGAAAATGGGCCATACACGCACAGTCCGAAATGGTTCGTTTCGGTAATGTGACCAACAACCGATTGGAGAATGCGAACGTCGCCCTAAAGGCCGGGTGCACCACCCCAACACGTCGGAGCATGCAATTTAAAAGGTGTCCCGGTACGCCGAGTGGCTCATGCGGGAGTCCGAGATGCATACGTCGTACCACCGTACAGGCGGCAAATCCTGGAAGGTGACACCTAAGCTCTAAACGTGGTTTGTCGAATGTCGAAACATGCATATTCTCTCGTTTTGGGGCACTTGGGTCAGCGACCGCCGCGGCTGCCGTATGAAAGTGTTGGAACAAACAAGGTGAGGTCGAGCTACGTAAAATAACTTATAGTTTGTGTCGCAAACACCCAGATGCTCCCAGAATGTCGACATCTGTGCTGAAGAATGGGCATGCCCTTTCTACCAGGCGACGCGGCTTCCCTGCATACACCTGTTCTCTGTATTTTGAGATCAGTCCGTTCCGAGCAGTAAGAACTATTCATCATTGACTTTTTCTTAGCTTGCTTCCCAATCCGCCAACGATGGCTGTCGGATTGAAGCTACCGGAAAAAGTGTACGCCTCACACCCCGTACCCCTTACAACCACCGACAGCTTTCGGTGGCCTTTGTAAACAACTGAACCGAGTGATGGATAAGCTTCAGAGGCTGGAACCCAGGAGGGCCACAGCCATCTTTAAGTGATTGATTGTTCAGGGACAAATCTTGCTGCATCAAGGCTCAAAGTCTGTAACTGACGACCTACCGTTGGTGGTCGAGGATAATGCACCTCAACCCAGATGGCGGTCTAGGAACGCTGACTTGGGCTTTTGTGTGCTCTGTGACCGGTCGACTACTTCCAGTGACCGCTGGTGTGCAGCTGATCGCGTATCATATCACGCCGACTGCTGTGATGGTGAACCTTACCCGCTGTGTGGTGGTGCTCTTCAGGCTTGCCCCAAATGTGAGCCCACATGAAAAAAATTACTTTTGGTTCTTAGCTCCGGGCCCATCCAGAAAACGAAGAGGTGTACTTGCTACGCGGTCCGCAAAGAGGTCGTCTTATGATGTTGACCTGGGCCGAAGCACAGAGTCCCAACACAGTTTGTCCCGGAAGTCTGTGTGCATCCGTGATTTCGGGTCCAGAGAGGAACTACTCGACAGCCGTGAGTAAATGTCTGACAACTACGACGAACGCTGTACAGTGCCAGCTAGATTAAAGAAACGAAGATGATTTAATGTGACCCATCAGCTCCGGACAGTTGGCATGTTAATGAGACCCAATGCATTTCGTGTATTGTATTTCTTGAGAGGTGCATGCATCAGCTAGCTCGTTCAGCCGTCCGGTATGATCGACGGATGCTCCATGTTCCTAATCGATAAACCTCGAGGTCTTCCTGGCATAATTTCCAACCTACAATGGAAAATTCTGCTTTTTGCCGGCAAACGTGCACGACTTTAGCAAATAATTAACGTGGACAACGGAATTTTTACCGGCAACAGGAATCATCGACCAAAATTTGTTCGCATGAATGCACCTACATTTATTTGGCATCTCCGAAGGCCATTTAGATTCTAGAATGTTCAGAGAATTTTCTCCGGTAAAAAACTACCCGAAAGTTTCGTTTATTTTGAGTCAACGTTTTCCACATTTCGCGACTTTTTATCATCGGGCAACGCATTCACTGTCGGCGGTGTTTATTGAACTTGAGCATTTGCTCACCTAAACAAATCAATAATGCACGGACATGTACATTATTCACAGACATTCTAATTTATGAAGTGGTAAGCCGTTGTGCGAATAGTGAGCAGCTATTGAAAGAGGTTGAATGAAATTTCCGTGGACGATAAATTCCTCCGTGGCTATACTGGAACAGAACAGAAAGTTACACGCGGCTGCATGTGAAAAATATGAAAACGCAGGTAAATGTCAAAGTGAGGCTTTTCCGTATATGGCTGATCTACGGGGTTATTTATATCAATCAGATGTGTGGAATAACGGTCTCAATTGCCTCATGCTCAGGGTGATCAAAATGCCAGCAAGATGGTCACAGATATAATACCTCGCAGTGTGATCATCAGGCGACAACCACTTCTCGATGTCTGAATAAATAAT